GGAAGTTCAGTAGTCATGGCTGCCTCCAATTTAGCTCTGAAAGGTCATCTCTAATTTCCATACAGTCACATGTCGCATAACAACACTTCAGTCAATGACAGACCACATATAAGACGGTGGTCCCATAAGATTATAATGAAGTTGAAAATTTCTCACCTGGTGACGTTGTAGCTATCTTAATGTCTTGGTGCAATTACATATATACATATATATGTATATGTTTAAATTTGGTGTAGTCTAAGTGTGCAGTGTTTATGAAGTCTACAGTGATGTACACTAATGTCCTAGGCCTTCACATTCACTCACCACTCACTCATTGACTCACCCATGGCACCTTCCAGTCCTGTAAGCTCCATTCTTGTTAAGTGCCCTACCCTTGTGTACCATGGCTTATCTTTTATACCAGATTTTTACTGTAGCTTTTCTATATTTAGATAGACAAATATTTTCCACTGTGTTAGAATTGCCTATAGTATTCAGTGTAGTCACATGCTGTGTGGGTTTATAGCCTAGCAGCAGTGGGTTATGCCATAAAGCTCAGGTGTGTAGTAGGCCACACCATCTAGGTTTGTGTAAGTGTTCTCTGAGATGTTCACACAACAGTGAAATCAGCTTGAGAAGCACTTCTTGGAATGTATCCCTGTCATTACACGACCTGTGATTATATTTGTAAAGAGGGTCAGAGACAGCTTGTGTTTCTCAGAAAAGGTACTCATGTTCAACTGATGTTGTAAGTCTTGAAAGAGGAAAGAGAAGTGCTAACGTGGCTGAGAGCTTTTCTTTCCAATTAGTGATTCCCCAGCTTGCACACCGAAATATTCCAGGAACTATCCTGGGTAGTAGTGGTAGAGAGTGGTTGTAATTAACGCCAAAATCAGTGTCATATGGGAAAGGTGCCCACTGCATACAGGAGGCCATGCTGGGTACTGAGGAAGCTCTGGTGCCTGTGGGAGACTTAGACATGGTGACAAAACAGTGTGAGAGAGCATGAGTTAAATGTCAAGTAAGCTCAACACAGGCCACAAGTGTTCAGAGATTTTCTTCAAAACTACTTCCAGGAGAATAGTCAGCCACCAAAGTGAACATATTAAAGTGGGGGGGTGGTCTATGTTTGAAGGTCTATGTTTGAAATAAGTTTATTCTGGGAACTGAGTGTCTGGCACTGCTGCAGAAAGACTGCACAAAGTAGAGGCCTGAAGGAAGGTCAGGACAAGTCAGGCCCTCGCCTGTTTCCCTACAACATCCAGGAAATGCACAAGGAAGTCTTTGTTATTGTCATTGTTGCAAAACCCAATTGTCTCTCTGTTACCACGATAATGAATTCATAGGAGTTCAGCTACAAGTAGGAATAGCATAAGCAGCTTAATTCTTACGTGTTTTCTACTAAACCACTTTTGTGAAGTCTTTCATCAAAAACAAATTATGCCCCAGAATTTTTAAGAAAATGTACAAGATAAAAAACTATCTCTTTTTAGAGTTGTCAGGCTGTTTTGAAAGCTCTTAAAACTTTGCCCACCTACTTTAAAGCTGCATGTTTTCCTTTTGGCCGTTATAAAGCACTCTATAGTAGCTGGTGCCTCAACAGATGCCAACTATCTTTATAGCTCACTGGTAATTATTTTTTTTCTATTGAGGAAAATATTGGGGACAGATAAAAACAATGATTAAACAGCCAAAGTAGGAGTCTCACATTTGTCAATGTACATGTGCAGTTCATTCATTTTTTTTTCTTGTTATTGTTAGTCATCTTACAAATACGGAACCACAAACTCTTCACTTCCTTTGGTAGTATAGCTCTTTCAGCTCTGGGAATTACAAACCCTTTACAATTTTATCAGTTTCAGAAAACTCACAGGTTTCTTATCAGAAAGTGTATTCTCTCCCACTCTTTACATTTAAATAACGGAAATGGAAGATTTTGAAGCAGTAGGCTTCAAAGCTGTCCATCGACTGAACAGTCATTCTTAAGTGCTCCTTAATCTCAATTAAATAGACTCATCCTTCAAGGCAGGATGTTTTCCAATTTTACTATGGCTATCTTTTCAAGGAATTTCAAAGAGAGGAGTGTTTTAGGGACCCTCCCTAGTGGTGGTGGCTAATTACTTCCTTACATCTTTGGTAACTTTGTTAAATTTTTAAAAAAGTTGCTCATCTCTTTTTTTTCTTAATGAAGGACGCTCATTTCATGTTTGTGGCCATTCTCAATTTCCAATTCAGCATTTGGACATACTGCTCTTTCTCCTCTTTTGGAAACACTCTTCTCCTTATTGTTCAGCTGTAGTTTCACACAGTGAGCTAGTGGAGATCATGGGGCCTTTACAGAAAACTGAGAGCATTTCTTGCACCCTAGAAGAGATGGCACATTGGAAGGTGGTGCAAAAACATGGATGGCATTCACGTAAAAAACACATCTGCAAGACTTTGCTTGTATTTGAGTTCAAAACAAAAGCCTTCCCCAAGAAGTAAGCAACATGTTGTTTCATATCAATAAGAATTGCCTTGTTTCCCTCCAGTTCCCAGACTTCTCCAAAGCTAGGTTAATACCAACATTTCATAATGTTGCCTGATGAGGGCGAAGTAGCCTCAGAGATAGGAAAGCACGATTGTTTCTTCAGGGTCGGCGTGCCTGAGGCACGTGAAGCTCAGTGCCTGCAAAGCAACAGGTGAGGTGATGGGGAACCCCAGAGCTTTGAACTTGCAACAATGCAACATCAGGACTCTGCTGATGCAAGTCGACCAGGTCAAAGGAGTGGGAGGCTGACTTTCTCCAGTAACTGGAACTGGGCTGTGCCCATTCAGTTTTCTCTCAACACATTCTGCTCTGAATTAAATTACATTTTAAAATTTGGGTGTGATCATCGTATTGAGGTTGTGTGGGAGAATGTCCTTGTTGTTACATCCTGGAGATTTTAGGGGACACATTATAATACTTGTGCTACTTACTTTCAAATGGTTTGTAAGACAGAAGGCGATGGGGGTGGGGGGTGGTGACAACAGAGAGAGGAGAGTACAAGTACAAATATGGTAAATGTTAGCAACTGATCAATCTATGATGAAGGGTAAGCATGTTTCTTTGTACCATTCTTTCATCTTTTCTGTAGGTTTGACTTTTTTAAGTTAGAAAAAATGCTTAAGGATAACTAACAAAAATACAGGGCCTATATGAATAAAGATATGAAATAATATTTAAGGATATAAAATGCAATCTGATCACATGAAAAAATTATGTATAATCAGAGAAGTGAAATAATTTTTTCTAGTGTTTATATTTTTAAAATCTCACCTATCTATAAGTTAAGATCTTAAACTGTGAAAAAGAAAACATAGATTATTCACTCATCATTCTTCTACTCTCCATTTGCTCAGTTAACACTGACTCATACTGGGCCCTAAACGGTGGCCAGAACCCAGGCTTGCTACCCATTATATGTGAGGTATGGAGTCGGGCAGAAGAGAAGCGGGAAGTGAGAGGAGGGGGCATAAAATAGGAACAGCATGTGGTTCTTCTCAAAGATGCTTGCACATTAGTCTTACTACTCTAGGCCAGGAACAACTCGAGGAAGAAGGATAGGAGGGTTGTGGTTTCAGATACAACCATATCTGAATGACTGCTTTGGGATCTGAGTAGGAGCCTCCTCACTTCCCACTGGCCCTGAGATGTACTGTTCTCCAGTGTAATGGAGTGGAGAAAGTACCATGCTGCTGCCAAGGGAATTTGGTCTGATCCTGCCTTGAGCTGGCTGTGTGACCCTAAGCCTCGGTCTCTCTACCTGCAAAATGAAGTAAGTCTCTCTACCTTCAGGTTCCTTCCAGTGCTAATATTCTATTTAGAGGCTCTCTTTTCTTCTAGCTTGATCCCTTCCATATTAAACCTAGCTGAATGTAACCAGGTGCTGCAGTGAGAATCTTTTTTTTTTTTGTAATAAGAGTCTCACTCTGTCACCCAGGTTGGAGTGCAGTGGCACGCTGATGACCAGTCCAGTGTCAACTCGCTAGGCTCAGGTGATACTTCCGCCTCAGCCTTCCAAGTAGCTGGAACTACAGGCATGTACTACCATGCCCGGCTAAATTTTTGATATAGTGTAGAGAAGAGGTCTCACCAAGTTGCCCAGACTGGTCTCAAACCCCTGGGCTCAGGCAATCCTCTTGCCTCAGCCTCCCAACGTGCTGGGATTATAGGCTGGAGCCGCTGCACCCAGTCAGCAGTGGAGATCTTAAGCTCCTTAAATGTTTAAAGTTGATGTTACACCTTAACTCTGTCTCTGAAGTCAACAGATCAGCACCAAATGTCAGGCCCACCTGGCCAAGTAGAAGCCTTGACATCTCCCTGGACCCTTTGCAATCCCTCAGGGAGCGAGATGCTTCACCCTCCCTTCAACATGCAAACTGTGCTAAAAGGGGCATTTCCCTTTCAAGAGGTCAGATTCCCATGTTGTGAAGCACCACACATGCCTATGCATATAGCAGTACTTAGAAATCTCCCCTTAGACCATCTGGCTCCAGTTCTGCTTTCTGTAACATTAATTCAAGTCTCAGAGAGTAGGATCCTTTAACACGCTTTTTTGTTCTTTTTCTAAAATGCAGATGCCTGGGCAGCAGACCCAGGGAGAGATTTTTATCAGATCCTTGCTATATTCCTCTTTTCAGAAGGCAGAATAAGAGAATGAGGGAAGGGTGTCTCAGCTAACAGAAGTTGGTAGGATGCAGTCCATCAGTTAGGAATTTGGGGCTTATCAGCTTTTAATTTGGGGTCATTAAGAGCACAGAGCAATTATTCCTTCTGATCCTATCAATCTTTTAGTTCATTTCTTCTCTGAAAGCTGGGATTAGCTTGCGAGCTTCCTAGGAACTGGGATTAGGTCATCTCCCTCGCTGAGCCAACTTGGCCTCAGGGAGAAAGAATGGATTTTGAAGTCAGACAAGCCTGAATCTGAGGCTTCTTTGAAGCATTAACTTGGGCAACAATATGGCCACTGGAGTACTGTGGCACACTTTGGGCTCTAACCAGCATAGATGGCTGCCTGTGTCCTCTTGTGGTCCCTCCAGCCCACAGGGACCTGAATGCAGGTGCCATGCTTTGGAGCATGACTTCCAGTACCTGCCAGAATGGCCCATGGGAGGACAGGGACCGAGAAGGGGTTTTCCTATAACCAAAAAGGTAATGTAACACTGTGGGGTTTTATGGGATAGAGAGTCTTGCTCTCTGACCATTTCCCCGCAAGCCTTCTCAGTGATGGCACACAGATGAAAAGTTTATGCTAGACAATTCACATATAGGTAATCATCTCAAAAACCCTGTGGAGTTAGCAATACCATGCTTAGCTGACCTCACAGATGAGTGAACTGAGGCTTAGTCAGCTAGTGAGGGGAGGGAACTGAACTTGAAATTGAGCTGGTTGTAGCTGGATGGCTGCAGGCTCTGCTTCTTAGGTACTCCTCCCCACATGGTAGCACACAACCTCTTGGCATCTTTCTCAGCCAGGCAAGTCGAGAGGTTGGCAAGTTCTGAAACCCTTGATCATCGGCTACTCCATGTCCCTTAGACTTCGCTGTTTTCCTTCTGTTCCCTAGTTGTCCTGGGGGCTCCCCCTACAGGGACTCTGAGTGTACTTCCATGCTCCACACCTGCCTGGCGTCCCTTTCTTGCTCATATGTAACTAAGCCCAACATTTCCCGAGCTGTTTCCGTGTGCTGGGCACTACAAAGATAAGTTAGAAGCAGTCTCTATTCAGGTAGCTCAGAGTTAGTCATGGGAGAAAATTATTTTAAAACAAATAGAAAACATGGCAATTTTCTTTGAATGCTTTAAGGGAGGTGCTGAGGGCTGTTGGAGGTAATTGGAGCAAATGTGTGAGATGTCTGGGAAGTGTTACTAAAGACGCCCAGATAAATACCAATGTGGAAGGGCACGTATTCAGCGCTTGACATTTGTTAATTCTATTTCCACAACAGTCCTCCAAGAAACATTATTGCTTCCATTTCTTTGCAGATGAGAAAATCAAATTACAACCCAAAGCAGTGACCCTGGCCATGTAGCTAGCAATGGGCAGGATTGAAAGTCAAACATGTCTTTCTGGCTTCCAGGTCCGCCTGACTCATCATTCCAGATCATTACCTCCCACCTCATTCTAATCCTGTTGTAGAGCTATCTGCTCCCTAGTAACCTGGCTGCTGCATGGAGGGTTCGGGTGTAGACTTAGAAGTCCTGTCCCCAACCTACTCTTTGCTCCTGGACCAGAGCGATGTGAGAGCAGCCAGCAAAAGCCCTGGTGAAACTGAGCCTTTGGGAGGTCCTGCAGAATAAAACTCAGGGGGTGTTTATATGGAAAGAAGGGAGAGGACATGCCCAAGGAGAGAACAGTGTGGGCTGCAGTGAGGGAGTAAGATCAGGGCTGTCTTGGAAAGAGCACTTGGACCAGGGAGTGAGAAAAGGTGTCATAGGGCAGGTGAGAGTCATACTGCAGGCAGAAAAGATGTGGCCAGAACTATGGTGCTATGAGAGGGGATGGAGGTGGAGAGATACAGGTTACACAGACCATTAGCTGAACCAATTGGGGGCAGTGGGAGGGATGAGGAGGATGGCACTGGTAGGGCCTTGAGTAAGGATGAAACCCGAAACTGCAGGTGTGGAAGTTCAGGAAGGCTGCGCTGAGGCAGATTTTAGTACTTGACAATGGGTTGAACGTGGAGATTGAAGCCCAAGGAAGAATCCAGAATGATCAAGTATTCCAGCCCGGGTGATTGAGAAAATGGGGCAGATACAGACTAAAATAGGGAATTCAGAAGAGGACCTGGTTAGGATAAAAGAAAACAAGTCTAATTCTGAGGATGCCAAAAGCCAAAGCCAGAGGGATAGCTGGGTAAAGATACTGTCAAACAACATGGATAGTGAGTCCATCTCAGGGAAAAGGAAAAAGATTTTATATATATATATATATATATAACATAATACATTTAAGTGAAATAATATGATAAATGTAAAACAAAATAGAATTCATACTTATGTAAAACATATTGAAATATATAATATATAAACATAAATAAACAGTATTTTTAAAAATATAGTTCGAGAAAGAGAATAAAAGAATCTGGGAGTATCTACAAGGCACAGTGGTTGAAGCAGGAAAAGTGGAGATGCCCTTTAGGGTAGTGGTTCTCAAACTTTAATGTGCTCAAGAATCACCTGGGAGCCCTAGCACAGCTCAATGGCATGTGATGCAAATTTAACAGGTATAGTTTTCTTCCCTAGAAGATAATATTTTCATAGAGTATTAAGATATTCTACAGAAATGAGCAATATAGGAATTTCAGAAAATAGGGACTGTATTTTAGCTGTTGCTTTTTTTTTTTTTTAAACAAGCAGCCACTAGCTGCCTTTCAAATCACACCAGATGGGCACTTATTTTATGTACCTACAATATTGATCCTAAGCCTGAATCACATGGGCTGAAAGTTGCTCAGTCTCCATTGTCCAATAGTTAAGAACATAGACTTTGAAGCCACAAAATATGGGTTTGCACGTTAGCTGATACCCTACCTGCAAAATGTGGTCTTGGGCCATTTACCAGATGTGGTCTTGGGCCATTTACCATTCATTGCTCCTCCTCTTCAATGAGGAGATAACAGATGCACATACCTTGCAGGGTTCTCGTGATGCCAGAATAATACAGACCTTGGCACCTAGTAGGTTCTTGACACCCAGAACGTGTTTAATAACTGTTGGTTTTGATTTTTATCATTGGTTAGTTCCTGGGGAGGGCAACTCTGCACAGAAAAGCTGCAGGAAGAAGTGCTGTGAGTCAGAAGGTCATCGTTGGTTCCTTGAGTCAGTACAGAAGCAACACACCAGCTAGTGCTGTGACAGAAGCTCATAGTGAGACCCTGACTGAAACTCAGGCAGGCTGTCACAGGTTGACCAGCAAAGACTATTTCCAGCTTCTGACCACTTGACCAATTTTTCAGTATGGAATAGCAACTATTGCTGGAAGAATCTTCCTTCCATTGCAGTGGCCAGTGGACTGGGCAGTGGACATCATTTTGTTCTCACTATTGGCAAAAGCTGGTCTTTGCAGAAGGACACCATATTCTCCTCCCAAGAGACCACATAGTTTGCCAAATGTATCATCACATGCTGAAAAGCTAAGAAGTTGGGCTAACCACTAGGTTTCTTTCTGATCTACAATAATCCAAATAACTCCCTGGGCTGACATGTATCCTCTTATTTGACCAATCATTTCATTAATTTGACCAATTGTTTTTGTTTTCTTGACCCAGCATGTACCCTGAGTTTTGATCATTATCTGAAGCAAAATAAAACTTGACTTTTATTTAGTGGGACCTTTCTATGTGACAACACTGTGTTGAGTTCCTTGAAACATAATCTCATTTAATCTTTACAGCATCACCTAGGAGGGAGGTAGTATTTTCATTGTAATTTTGCAGGTAATGACACTAGCCCTTGGACCTGTGAGATCATATGCCCAAGGACATGCTGCTGCTAGTGTGTGTGTTTGTAAAAGATGGTTTGTCCTTCTCCTCTGAACACTTCGAGATATTTTGGGGCCATACAGATGAATGAGTCAACCCTAACCTTACCACCATACCTGCAGCGGGTCTTTCTCATATCCACTGTTGATTCTTACCCTGTGCCATGGCCCTGCTTTCCAGGCTGTCTCCCCTCCCCTCTGCTAGCCTGCTTACTCCTCCACATTGCTGCAGGTGGTGCCCAACTGGCTTTGCTTCTCACCTTTCCCTGTGTTCCTTAAATTAGGTCCTCATGATTAATATGCTTCTTAAGACTGGAGGGTATCATGTGAGAATGGCTGTGCAAAAGAGGAAGAGTAAAAAGAGGACATCAGCTTTCACTGCTCAAGTCCTACAGCCCAATCCTTCCACGAGTCCTCCTATGTAACTTCTTCCTCCTCAGCCCCTGACATACCTTCTTAAAACCGAGTGCCCCTCCAACACTCTTCCAAAGTCCCTGGGCTTCCAGTCTCCTGTATCTGGCCCTACTAAAGGAAGCTGCAGGCATGTTCAGCACAGGTTATCCACAAGGACTACGATGGGGACCAAAACAAGTAGCATCTTGTCTGAAGCATCTGCACTTGGGCTATTCTGATGCTCAGGACTTACAAAAGGACTGTAGAAGAAACCTGTAGATTTTGACTTATTTTGCTAGATGATGTTGGACAACCTACTTGGTTAGAACAAAATGAATCCAGGGCAAACAAATGTTATGGGTCTATAAACTTTATACTATGATTGCAAACCTATTCTGAAACAACATGTCAGAAAACTTACCAAGTCTCAAAGAGGCATAGAGGATGGGAGAGAGGGAGGATCTTGCTCATTTGATTCCTGCCTCTGTGTTAGATGCCGGGCTGTAGAACACTCCCAGTGTTTTCCAAGGAGGTAGGGAATGAGGTGCCAAATTATAGGTGGAGACACAGGCTTGGACTCTTTTCCCTATAGGATGCTGCTTCCCATGTTTATGGATAGCTTAGTTCAAGCAGAGATTGTGGTTGATATGAAATAAAACATTTGACATTTTTTTTTTTTTTTTGAGTTGGAGTCTCACTCTGTCGCCCAGACTGGAGTGCAGTGG